TTAAACACAATGGTGATTGTTGCTGTAAAAGTTATTAAAAAAAGATAACTAGGATTTTTTTTTACCCATTCTTTGTCCCTTCTGTACAATGGGACAGGGGGTTATTTAAAGGACCACTATAGTGCCAGGAAAACATACTTGTTTTCCTGGCACTATAGTGCCCTGAGGGTGCCCCCACCCTCAGGGTTCCCCTCCCGCCAGGCTGGATGAAACTTACCTATTTCTACAGCGCCGGGCGGGGAGCTCTCCTCCTCCTCCTCTCCGCCTCCTCTCCTCCTCTTCGGCTGAATGCGCATGCGCGGCAAGAGTCGCGCATGCATTCAGCCAGTCCATAGGAAAGCATTCTCAATGCTTTCCTATGGATGCTGGTGTCTTCTCACTGGGAAAATCATAGTGAGAAGCACGCAAGCGCCTCTAGCGGCTGTCAATGAGACAGCCACTTGAGGCTGGATTAACCCTAATATAAACATAGCAGTTTCTCTGAAACTGCTATGTTTATAGAAAAAAGTTTAACCCTAGCTGGACCTGGCACCCAGACCACTTCATTAAGCTGAAGTGGTATGGGTGCCTATAGTGGTCCTTTAACCCCTTTGTCTTTTACCTGACAAGCTCTCACAGTTTTCCTGTTGAATGCTGATATCACCATGGGACATGAAATGCCATGAATGCAAGAGGATTAAATAAAGGGAGAAGGGACTCTCATCTAAAAGAGGACACCCATGACAACACAGGTCGGTACATCTTGATGCCCGTCACAAATCGTTAAGCAAAATGGTCTGTTCAACTAAATAGCAACTTACCTGTAGTAAAGAGGCATTACCTAACTATCCATATCTCTTCAATAAAATGTGCTAGAGACAGACAGATTAAGGTTACTCACTCTTAGTGCCCTTGACTCTGTTCTGTGAGTGTTGTGTGCATGGTGGCTGAGTGCAGTATATGTGTGGGGAATACTGAGTGTTTTGTGTGTGTGTTTGTGTGTAAAGAAGAAGTTGTATGTTGGGGGAGGTTGAGTGAGCATTTGTGTAGTCCCTTGAGCAGTCTGAGCCCGGGCCCTAGGTGACTGCATATGCCGCCTAATGGGTAATCCAGCTCTGGCTAGAGATCCCTAACAGTCCTCATTTAAAAATGTTCCCTGTGTGAGAATTGCTCTTGATGAGATTATGAGGGCTGTTCAATATACAGAGAAATGTCACAGAAATAAGAATTTGTGTGTTTTCAAGGCGCTTTCAGTTAATAATTGAATAGAATGACAGCAGCTACCACACAAATAGGGACTCTCTACCCTATAGATTAGTACAAAAAAGATTAGGTGTACACTCAGTATTGGAAATTAATGATAAAAACCACCACTGGTGTGCATATGGAGCGCTTACAAATTTGTTGACTCACCCATATGGGTTAACATACATATGTATGGAAAACGTGACTCATAGCGATATATCTGAAACAAATGTAAATGCAAGAAATAGTGCAGATAACGTTTTCAATTAGTGCAGTGAGGGAATATTCTATATGGTCTCACTCACATGTAGCAGAGCCCTATAGGATAGGCTCAGATCTCAATGGCCTGCGTGTGCTTATGGTGACACAGTACCCAATCGGTCCTCTAGGCGTCTGGAGATCCTTATGCATACATGAGAGAGAGAGAGAGAGAGAGAGAGAACAAGGGGAAGAGGAGAACCCCTAGTGCGGTCAATCCCAATGTACAATGTCAAATAGTGCAGAAAAAGTGGCTTCTCACCTGATGTGGAGCCCTATACCTGGCTCCTGGTGTGTAGGTGTCTGTGCCTTTAAGGGGGCAACTACCCTTCTTTAAGCAGCAACAATGGAGGGTGGATTCCAAATATAAAACAAAATTTATTAAATAAAGTAATAAAAACTTACAAGTAAAATATAAACAAAATTGTGAGAAATTATAAAATGTGGAATCTTCAATCCTCCAGCCGAAACATGTTTCACTGTACCCAGACAGCTTTTTTCAATCGGTAGTATAGTTGCTGCTGTTACTTGTTTAAATACTTTGTACTTCCTCCTGTGTGGTCCTTCAAACTTCCCTCCCTCCAATCCGCTGGCGTCCTTTTTCATGAACAGCTGTACTGTGTTAGTAATGAGAATGCTCCGGTCTCGGAACAAGTCATGTGACCCGAAGCATCACGTGCCGCATCACAAATTGGGCGTGTATTCAATGTAGGGCTCACAGTTCCATATCGTCCATTTTGAAGTTGGGCAAAATGCCCTTCCTTCAACCAAGTCCGTTCCTATTTACAAGCCAGATGCTCAATTTGAGCGATATATAAACAAAAAAATGAAGGGAGAAAGGGGGATAGTATTATTGTATATTACTTACAAGTTAATTCATAAAATTTACATATCAAAAAATAAAAACATCTAGTGTTTTTCATTCAAAGTGACAGTACATGCATAAAGACAGGTGGTGAATAGGAGTATGCTCTTTTAGGAGAAATGCTGATTATTATTGAATAGGTCTCCATTGTGTCAGCAGCTCATCTTCAATGATGATATCAATATTAAAATATATAAATAAAAAAGCATATAAATATTTAGTAGGTTCCTAGCTGGTCTCTCATACAAGTACTAACCAGGCCTAAGCCTGGATGACTTCTGAGATCTGACAAGATCAGGCATTTTTAGACTGGTATGGCCATAGAGTAAATATTTAAAATGTATGAAACATACTAATAAAAAAATAATTTAAGTAAAAAAATGGCATAACTCAAAATCATCATTGAGACCATTAGGCTGCATGGTATTCAGGTTAAAAATCCATTGCATCTCCCTTTGGCCTAATTTTTTAATAAAATCTCCCCCTCTCCAGTCGGGTGATACCCTCTGAATTGCATGGAATTCTAACAGGGTGGGATCGCTATTATGTTTATTTTTAAAATGTAAGGAGACACTGTGCTTTTCATAGTTGTTCCTAATATTCCTAATGTGTTCTTGTACTCTAATGTGCAACTTTCTTTTGGTGCGCCCTACATATACAAATCCACATGGGCATATCAAGAGATAAATAACTCTTGTGGACTGACAAGTAATTAGCTCATTGATCTTAAACATGACTTTTTTATTTTGAGGGTGTGAGAATTCTTTTACTAGTCTTTTCTTACTTTTTGAGTTCTTGCACGCACCACAGTGTCCACAACCATAAAACCCTTTTGTTTCGTTGAAAAAGTCCCTATTACATCTTTTTAGGGGTATATGGTTAGATGTTAAAGTGTTTCTTAAATTCTTTACTCCTCTATAAACAATCTTAGGCTTCTCCGGAAGAATACTATTAAGGAGGGGGTCATTTCTTAAAATTGGCCAATACTTTGAGACTATTTTTCTAAATTCTTTACTTTTACAGTTAAAGTCACATATAAGTCCTATTGTTTGTGGTTCAACTTTATTTTTAGTGTTATATTTAATTAGATCTTTTCTGTCCTTTATTTTGACTTCTTCAAGGGCTTTCCCCAACAATGTCTCGTTATATCCCTTTTCTCTAAAATCTTTCAGAATTTTGTGGGATTGTTCTTGGAATTTACATTCCTCCGTGCAATTCCTCCTTATCCTGAGCAGTTGCGCTTTGGGTGCATTCAGCAACCATGGGGAGAAATGGCAGCTATTCTCCCCAATGTAGCTGTTAACATCCACAGGTTTGAAAAAAGTACATGTCTTCAAACATGCATCCTCAACATAAATTTGGAGGTCCAGAAATTCCACTAGAATCTTACTATAATTCGAGACTAATTTAATTCCCCAATCGTTATTATTCAGATGGTCCAAAAAAGATATCAGGGATGTCTCATCCCCTTGCCAAATGAAAAATATGTCGTCTATGTAACGGCGATAGGCAACGAGGTTCGCGCTCCAACTACCATCTTGGTAAATAAATTCTTGTTCCCACAAAGCCATGAATAAATTTGCATAGCTTGGCGCGAACCTCGTGCCCATCGCAGTTCCACATATCTGTAAGTAGAAAAGATCGTTAAACCAAAAATAATTGTTATTCAGTATCCATCTGATACTTTTAACTAAAAAATCAATTTGTCCACTTGGAAATGTTCCTGACTGCTGTAAAAAATGTTCTGTCGCTTGACACCCTTTATCGTGAGAAATAATGGTGTACAGCGAACTAACGTCAGCTGTCACCAAAAAACTATTTTCCTTCCACTTGTGATCTGTTAAAACTTGGAGGATATTGGAGGTGTCCTTCAGGTAACTAGGACATTTGGTAACCACTGGTTGGAGACACCTATCTACGTACTGGGATAGTCTGCTGGAAATTGACCCAATCCCAGATACAATAGGTCTCCCTGGAGGTTTTATCCTATCTTTATGGATTTTGGGGAGGTGGTAAAATACTGGTATTATAGGTTGTGTCATGTTTAGAAATGCATACTCTTTTCCATTTAGAATGTTCCGTTCTTTTCCCTCCTCTATGAGAGTGTCATATGTGATTTTTATATCGCTAGTTGGATCTTTCGTCAAGATTCTATATGTCTTGTCGTCTCCTAAGAGTCTAAGGGCTTCTTTTACATAGTCTTCTGTGTCCAAAATGACTATACCCCCACCCTTATCTGCTGGTTTAATTACCAATGAATCGTCCTGCCTTAATTCCTTCAATGCCTGTCTTTCCCCATAATTAAGGTTGAATTGTTTTTGATTTGGTTTTTTAATCTTTTCTATATCCTTCATCACCATCTTTTCAAAGGTTGACATCTCTTCTGAGATACAGAACCTATGATAGAATGAAGATTTTGCTTTAAGTTCAGTGTGCACAGCCTCCGACCTTTCTATGGGTACTTCTGGCCTAGTGATTGGATTTTTTAGGAATAATTTTTTCAAACACATTTTCCTTTTGAATCTGTTAAGATCTACATAGATACTGAACTTATCAAGTGCTTTAGTGGGCGCAAATTTAAGTCCCTTCTCAAGTAGATTTATTTGGGGATTAGTAAGTGTTTTTGATGATAAATTAAAAATACCTTTTCCCTTTATTCTCTGACTTTTTTTTTCCCTTTTTTGTAAAAGAATTCCTCCTCTATACTCCGTCCTCTTTTTCCTGGGGTTCCCCAGCCTAGTCTGTTGTCCTTGTACCTGCCCTTCATGTAGTCTCCACAAAAATCCTCCTCTTTGTGTTGAGTGTTGAGGGCATTAAATCTGTTATAAGTAGGGATTTTTTTCCTTTCATCCCAATCAGTTCTATTATTTATCCCCCTTGGTATTCTTTCTACCGGATGCTGATTGCTCCTACTAGTCTGTATTTTCCTCCTTACCACTGGTTCTGGTGATCTTTTTATCTCCCTAGAGTGCCTATCTGGTGTCCCTTTTGTATCCCTAGATACATTTCCATACCTCGTGGGGATCTGTTCTCTACGTGTGGGTATTCCCACTGGTTTTGGTGATCTCTTATCTTCCCTAAGGTTTCTATTTGGTGTTCCTCTTTTATCTCCTCTAGATAGATGTCTCCATTTTGGTGTTGGTTTTCTACGTATTGGTGTTGTAGTCTGTTTTAGTAATCTGTTAGGTCTGCTTGGGCTTCCCTCATTGTGATAATACTGTTTGATTTTATATCTATCCTCATATCTCTCATCTCTTGTGGCATATTCACCACCTGTCTTTATGCATGTACTGTCACTTTGAATGAAAAACACTAGATGTTTTTATTTTTTGATATGTAAATTTTATGAATTAACTTGTAAGTAGTATACAATAATACTATCCCCCTTTCTCCCTTCATTTTTTCGTTTATATATCGCTCACATTGAGCATCTGGCTTGTAAATAGGAACGGACTTGGTTGAAGGAAGGGCATTTTGCCCAACTTCAAAATGGACGATATGGAACTGTGAGCCCTACATTGAATACACGCCCAATTTGTGATGCGGCACGTGATGCTTCGGGTCACATGACTTGTTCCGAGACCGGAGCATTCTCATTACTAACACAGTACAGCTGTTCATGAAAAAGGACGCCAGCGGATTGGAGGGAGGGAAGTTTGAAGGACCACACAGGAGGAAGTACAAAGTATTTAAACAAGTAACAGCAGCAACTATACTACCGATTGAAAAAGCTGTCTGGGTACAGTGAAACATGTTTCGGCTGGAGGATTGAAGATTCCACATTTTATAATTTCTCACAATTTTGTTTATATTTTACTTGTAAGTTTTTATTACTTTATTTAATAAATTTTGTTTTATATTTGGAATCCACCCTCCATTGTTGCTGCTTAAAGAAGGGTAGTTGCCCCCTTAAAGGCACAGACACCTACACACCAGGAGCCAGGTATAGGGCTCCACATCAGGTGAGAAGCCACTTTTTCTGCACTATTTGACATTGTACATTGGGATTGACCGCACTAGGGGTTCTCCTCTTCCCCTTGTTCTCTCTCTCTCTCTCTCTCATGTATGCATAAGGATCTCCAGACGCCTAGAGGACCGATTGGGTACTGTGTCACCATAAGCACACGCAGGCCATTGAGATCTGAGCCTATCCTATAGGGCTCTGCTACATGTGAGTGAGACCATATAGAATATTCCCTCACTGCACTAATTGAAAACGTTATCTGCACTATTTCTTGCATTTACATTTGTTTCAGATATATCGCTATGAGTCACGTTTTCCATACATATGTATGTTAACCCATATGGGTGAGTCAACAAATTTGTAAGCGCTCCATATGCACACCAGTGGTGGTTTTTATCATTAATTTCCAATACTGAGTGTACACCTAAACTTTTTTATACAGAGAAATGTGGTAAAATGAAAACCGAATGGCAAAATTGAGTCTAAAGAAATTGTGTATGTAACTATAGCTAAATTGATGAATTACTTCAATGCAGACACATTAATAAACACCATGCCACTAACAGCTGTATTCCATGGGTAAGTCACTCACTAACTTATATTGGAAATTACTATAGCCTCAGTTTAATGTTATTGGATAAGCTTTTTAAATGATGTTAAATTTTTGGATAAACTTTAGATAACTTTTTTTAAATGTTAAAATGTAAAAAATATATCTTATATAAAAATATATAGAATCAAAATATTAAAATATTAACATATTTGCATAATATTAATTATTTTAAATGTTTTCCAAAAATATTAAATTAAGAGGTAAATACATTTTTTAAAATTATTTTAATGATACAGTCAGCTTTTAAAGTGATAGAGGAATAAATGAGGGACTCATGCGGTTATTTCCTGACATTTTTTTAGTTTTTAATATTGATTGTTGATTTACTTAGTGGTTGTACTTTATCTCGGTACTAGAATTAACTAAGGGTAAAAAGGATTTTCAATTTTTTTTTTGCTGTTGTGGGGGGGGGCAGAGGGACACTAGTGTTAGGAATACAATTTAGTATTCCTAACATTGTAGTGTTCCTTTAAATCAGTGGGGCAGTAAATCTCAGCTTTAAAAATGTGTTTCCCATCTGATGTTTATGTTCTCTAACTGTATCTATGGTTAGTACTTGCACACGATTCTGATTGTATGACATAAACTTTGCAAATTTATGTAAATCTGTTTTAAGGCGGTAATGTATCCAATTGTTTTTATTTTTTAGCTTTATTAGACTTATCACTATGTAAAACATATCATTTTGAGCTAATATTAGTTAGTATTTTTCCCTATGTTTGACTGACTCCTGTGTTAATGCACCTAGCAGGTCTTTTTCCGATATATTTCAAAAATAATCTTGCAGGTTCTACAGTAAACTATTCTCTAATCTCTTTGTAAACTCATCCATGCAGCAAGCACACTGCACTTGAAAATCAAGAGTAATGTGTATTCTTTTTATGAAACTCTTGCCTCGTACATATCTTTGTCAACGTGTTAAAGGGTGACCTGTTGAGACATTCTAATCAAAACAAGCTAAAAATAGGTCGCACTGTACACATCGAGAAAAACGTGAACATTAAGTTACTAATGGATGAGAAACAATGTTTGAAAAGATCAAGTATGGGGTTATGAGACATTTTTGGGTATCGTAGAGTGTGCATTAAATACCTTGGATTCTAAGGATTTTAACATTTTACCATTGGTTTAACAATTAACTGTCACAGAGTGTTGACCCATACCTTATTTCTCTGTGAAAATTTATATATCCATCTATTAACTCTTTGAGATCTACAGTAGTATATGTAAGAAGCAGGAATTAATGTGTTATCATATGTAACATTAAGCATCACTTATTAAATTAAGTAGGCAACCTCCTCTCAGGCCATATACTAAAATTACTATGAGAAACTAAAGGAAATGTGCATAGTGGTTTAATGATACAGTGCAGAAAGTAGTTTTTAATGGCAATTTTTCAAGTTAGCCAAAAGTAATAAGTGGAGTCCTTCAAGGGTTTGTTCTGGGTCCAATTAGTTATCATCAGTCATTTTGTAATCATAATATCATTGAAAGTCATAGGTCACTGTTTACAGGTAACACAAAACCAAATAAGGTAATACAGTGCGAGCAGGATATTACTAATCTGCAGATGGATTTGTGTTCAATATGTTAATTTGCAAAAGGAACAATAGATAAATCACAGAGTGTTATAAAAGCTCAACATACAGAGTAACACCATTGCATAGGACAGTATGAGATATAATAAAATAGCATATGGAAGAGCACTATACCTTTCTCAATATTATAATGCAAAAAACAGTGCACATCACTAACATATGACACATAAGAGGCCAACATGGCCTCGCATAGAGTCGTAGTAAAAAGTAAGTGACAGACACATAGCTAACATTTAAACTTAGTACATAGCTTGACTCATGTAATATAAATATTGTGAGAAATGACAAATACTGACATTAACGGGATTCAATAGTGTAAGGAAACAAATCTGTATTCCTTACACTATAGTTCCCTGTGCTCCCCTCCATTTCACTCCAATGCTTTCCTATGTGGATTATACTGACGCTAGATGTCCTCATGCAGAGCGTGAGGACCTCCGGTGTCAGATGACCAGAAGTGGCTTAACAAGCAGACAAGATGGACAGTCATTAGAGTCAGTCATAGTCCTGCAATGGAACCATTGCAGTTTATCAGAAAACCTCTGCCTAGGGGGTCTCTGGTAAGAAAGGTGGTGACTCACTTAGAATTAGATTCTGGCCCCCAAGCAAGTACGCATACACATCTCAGTATCATTGGATATATACCCTGTGGGTTACCAATCCTCATCCAGAGGTGGAGATGAGGCATACCTATAGTAACTATACGTGGCCTTGTGTTCCAGCATCAATCCAAATGGAAACATTTTGTTATATCTCCTCTTATGTACTTGCCAAATAAATAATAATTGCATCTATGAGTTTGTTACCCTTTTTCCAATCCATAGATATGTCAAATTTCTTACTTGCGACCCAATATCGCGGACATCATAATCCCTTTCCCTATGGTCAAATAATGCAAATCAAGTTTGGACTTAATTAGAAGATTGTGCTCGTGCCACTCCAAATATAACAAAATTGAGGCTTAATTATTATTTTGTGAGTAAGTATTAATGTTTTTTTTTTGGATATGATACTGGAACACAAGGCTTGTTTTTTAATTTTCTTTCTTGAAAGCTAATGATCATTAACATATCAAAGAAATCAACACATCAATTAAAAGGTACAGGCCATATGGCTGAAGCCAGCTAGTTTACAGTGGGACCAGACATCCATGCATCGCAAGTGTAGAATCTCACACCCTGCTGAGCTTTTGATTAATCATTGGATCAATCCATGTTAACCATCCCCTTTCACATTCCTATGCAATTTACATTACCCCTTCTGTCATCTGACCTTGCAACCAAGTGGCCAATTTATATATGCATTACACAAATTCTATTACATTAAAAATTTTTATCTCAATTTGTTTAATTTTTACTTAATAAATCTGACTGCTAATTGAAGAAGTGGTTTTCCTTCTCTTCATTGGGATAACCTGCGGACGACTGCTGCTGATAATTATAATATCCTGGAATCTGATATGCACATATATCACTACGATCTTGGAAGTGTTATTAACTAAAGCGCATAACCAGGTTAAAAACGGTCTGTACTTATTATTTGTTTTTATCCTCTCTTACATGCCCATATAGGCGTGGAAGACCTTTTGCCAACTTTAATAATTGATGTGACTTCAATCAATACCCATTTGTGAGTGCAACTTTAAATACCACTATATGGTGTATTTATGATACTACACTATGAGTTCTATTTTTTTCCCACTGTAGATCCTTTCATTGTTTATATTTGTTGTGAGGACTGGAACAAGTCCTGTCTTTGGTTCTAAAGTTTGGAAGACTACTGTTTAGGTAAATTATATTTATTTTTACCTTCACATTGTGTCTTTTTACTTTGATTTTAAGGGTGATACTTTCTATC